CCGCGTCTCCAGACCTGCCCCCGCCCCCCCAGCTTCTCCGGGGCCTCCTCTGGCCTCTCCAGCAGCTCCATGTCCTCCCTGTGCTGGGGACCCCAGCCTGGCCCCAGCCCTGCAGGGGGCTCAGCGAGGGGCCAATCCCCCCCTGACCCTGCTGGTCACACTGCTGGGGATGCAGCCCAGGACACAGGGGGTTTCTGGGCTCATGTTGAGCTCCTCCTCACCCAACACCCCCAGGTCCTTCTCTCCACCCATCCTCCTGGATTTGCCCCTGGGGTTGCCCCAACCCACCTGCAGCACCTTTCTCTTGGCCTTGTTGCCCTTCCCGTGGTTGTCACCTCCCCACCTCTCCAGCCTGCCCAGGTCCCTTTGGGTGCCATCCCTTCCCTCCAGCCCTGAAGAGGAAGGTGCCACTTCTTCAAAGCCACTTCTCAGACCACCAATCAGCCCACACAGAGTGAGCCCACCCAGCATGGCCTGACCTCCCCCACCTCATCAGCTGGGACCTCAGCCAGAGAGGGTCTCGTGAGACCCCCTGCCCGAGGGGCCACCCCAGGAGCTTTGGTGTCCTGGCCAGGTGATTGGCAGCCAGAGAGCAAAGTGAGACCTGAGGAGCTTGTCCCCAAGACCCAGCAGGTGTGGGGATGCTCAGTGTGATGGGAGAGGCAGAGGAACAGGGGATGGTTGCACAGCCCACGGGTTCTTTACCTCCAGAATCTTTCCAGCCCCTTTTTCCTTGCACATCCACACACCTGGGACAGGCCAAGCTCTGCTGGGTCCCCATCCCCAACCCTGTGTCCATCACGATCTCCAGGGCTTCTCACCTTGGTTTGGAGGTTCCACAGGGGTTTGGTGGGGCCCTCGTGCTGGAGCTCCCCCAGTTGCTGCTGTTGATGGCTCCTCCATTCCCAGAGAACATTCCCTGCTCTTCCCTAGGCTGCAGATGTTGGGAAGGCCTTTTGTTGGACTGTCACATCTGAGGAGAAGGTGTTGATGGTCTCCTGGCCTGTCCAGGGGGGTCAGAGAGCTCCTGACTCCTTCCCCTGGGGACACAGGGACAGACCTTATGGAGCCTTCAGGACCCCACGTCCCTGCAGCAACCTCTGAACTCTCCTGGAGATACTGGTTCCTCCAGCTCCAACCCACTTGGGAAGCTAAGGAGGACCCTGTAGCTCCAGAAGGTCACACTCCTGTGTCTCCCCTGCTCCAGGGGTGGTTTTCCATGGCAAAGCTCCCCCGGGGTCTGCACAGCTCCCTTCAACACCCCCAGGGATGGGGCAGCCACAGCTTCCCTGGGCAACCTGGGCCAGGGGCTCCCCACCCTCACAGCCCAGCATTTCTCCCTCCCATCTCAGCTCCCGCTCCCTCTGCCAGCTGGAAACCCTTCCCCCTGCTCCCATCCCTCCCTGCCCTTGTCCCAAGCCCCTCCCCAGCTTTCCTGGAGACCC